TGACGTCAAAGAACCAGACACAGAGAAAAACGGGGAAAATGGCTGTAAGTTCAGCGAAATTCAAATCCTCCCTTCAGGAGGAAAGAACCACCATAAATCTGGCCAAGTGGTAAGTAGCAGCTACACCAGGGGAGAGGATATCCTGTGGTGACATCATATATGCGACATGCTGATGTCTAATTTGTAGTCATGCTAATTACGAACTTTACAAGTCGATAAATCTCAAAGTACGTGGCAGGTATGGTCAAAACACTCGTCATTAGTTTTCATTGAAATTGAAGTACAACTTATGTGCGATCCAGGGACTAAAACAATGCAGATTAGAAAATAGCTCTTTTAGCCCCGTAAGCTTGCATGCATTTTTTAGTTCTTCTGGGGACCCATGAGCCGACCGGAAGGGGAGGAGACTTAGACTCCCTATTGGTTTGGTTTCAGCAACTAAAACGTAAAATTGTGTGTAAACCTAAAGCTCAGTCGAATATCTCCTCTGTGGTTTGACAGACAACAATAGACAATAATTCGTCTGTATTTTGATGTTCTCCTCTACTCTCGGTGTGATCAGAACACCTTGGTTGCGTCAGCTGTCTCTGCTTGCAAAGATTTAGAGAATCCTGTTAGCATCTCAGCAGCTCTGGCAGTCAGTACAAAGATAGTCACAGCAAAACATCTCCCTCGTGTAAGCCGTAGTCGAATAAGCAAGAGTTGATCTCTTTGCAGGAAACAGAGTGTTTTTCCTAATTTGAATGGCTGTACTCAAACCAAGTTCAAAGCAAACTTGTGATTTGTGGCTGCTTTCTCAGGAGAGGCGAGAGAGCTCTGTTGGCAGTAAGATGACCTGCTGATTGTTCCACTCTCTGCGGGCCCATCAGACAGAGATGGACAACATTTGTCTGAAAGTACATGAGGATTACTGAGCTGAGCACATTAGGACAGACCACACAAACAGCATCACTCACCTCCTAGGTAGCTTGATAACAGCAAGTGGGAGAGAGGAGTGCAAACAGACTCCATTTGCCTGCTGTCTCCAGATCTAATCTGGTGCTAAAAATGTAGCATGCTCATAAAGTTATCGCCGAATGTGTATTTGTACATTATATGGGAGAAATAGCACTGTACATCATTATTATTAAGGTTTAGTTTCATATCGCCACATAGTTTACCTATTCATTTCATTTGGAAAATTGAGAATAATTCACTAAAACCTAAATTAACCTCTGAGAAATCCTATGATCCAAATCCATTATTACTTTTGAGTGCCTAGAAAAAGGTCCTTCCTTTTTTAAAATTCAAGTTGAGTCTGTGTTTTTTAATTCAACTCTCCACCTCAGCAGAGCAGGCAATATCATCAAGGACTATTCTCACCCCAGTAACCATCTGTTAGACCTGTTACCGTCAGGTCGGCTGTCCAGGTCTCATAAAACCACAGAGCTATCACCATAGTAAACAACCACTAAGCCAAATGATCCTGTAAACCTGAACCACACACTTACTTTTTCAGTATTGATCATGTGCAATAACATTTATATGTGCTATTTGTGTTCACGCAATATGCTAAAATTCTGCTTACAATAGTGACCTTCACAGAACCCAACTAATGCAGCTGCATCATACATGCCGCTACTTTGTGTATATATTTGTAAATATTACTGTTGATTTGATATTTATATTATTCTGTTATTTTCCTTACAATTTGCACTAAAGGGAGCGGCACTCCAATTTCACTGTACCTTGTACAACAACACTAAAGGCTATTCGATTCTAATCCAAAAGTGTGGTTCACAGAAGAAAAAAAACATTTTTAATGATTATTTCTGATTCCTAATCAATCACTCTGAGATTTTCATGTAGGTTGAACAAGAAAACATTCTCCTACATCTACCTCCTTAGCTTCTAATAGAAAATAGACAGTGCAACTCTAGGATTAGAAATTCCTGACAGATCTACGTTACACTGTCACTTAACATTAACGAACTCAACCATCTTGACTCACGACGAGGAAGGCTGTTATTGGTTTAGTGTCCAGGAAACAGCAGATTTCTTTCTTTCCTTTTTTTCAGTGGCCCTAATCCTTTTCCATAGTTTACAGAATGTTGCAATTTCAATCCAATTTTGGCCAGAAAGTCAATGTATTATTTATTTATTTATTTACAATTTATTTATTTCTAACAAAACTTTAGGAGAGAAAAATAAATGAAAAGATTTCATGAATATAGACATACCCCTCAACACAAGCTGCTTGTCTGTCACATACTAAACATCCATCCATTTTCATCTGCTTATCCAGAGTCGGGTCGCGGGGGCAGTAGCCTAAGGCGAGAGGCCCAGACTTCCCTCTCCCCAGCCGCTTGGGCCAGCTCCTCCGGGGGAATCCCAAGGTATTCCCTGGCCAGGTGAGAGACATAGTCCCTCCACCGTGTCCTGGGTCTACCTTTAGGTCTCCTCCCGGTTGGACGTGCCTGGAAAACCTCACCAGGGAGGCGTTCCCAGAGGTATCCTGACCAGATGCCCAAGCCACCTCAACTGGCTCCTCTCGATGTGGAGGAGCAGCGGGTCTACTCCGAGCCCCTCCTGAATGACTGAGTTTCTCACCCTATCTCTAAGGGAGAGCCCAGCCACTCTTCAGAGAAATCTAATTTCGGCTGCTTGTATCCGCGATCTCTTTCTTTCTGTCACTACCCAAAGCTCATGACCATAGGAGAGGCTAGAAACGTAGATCGACCGGTAAATCGAGAGCTTCGCCTTCTGACTCAGCTCTCGCTTCACCACGACAGACCGGTACAACGCCCGCATCACTGCAGATGCAGCACCAATTCGCTTATTGATCTCACGCTCCAGTTTTCCCTCACCCGTGAACGAGACCCCGAGATACTTAAACTCCTCCACTTGGGGCAGGACCTCATCCCTGACACGGAGAAGGCATTCTACCCTTTTCCAAATCAAGACCATGGTCTCAGATTTAGAGGAGCTGATTCTCATCCCAGCTGCTTCACACTCGGCTGCGAACCACTCCAGCGAAAGCTGAAGATCACGTTCTGATGAAGCCAACAGGACCACATCATCTGTAAAAAGCAGAGAACTGATCCCCAGGCCACCAAAACGGATGACTTCCACACCTTGACTGTGCCTAGAAGTCCTGTCCATAAAGGTTATGAATAGAATCAGTGACAAAGGGCAGCCTTGGCGGAGTCCAGCTCTCACTGGGAACGAGCCCGACTTACTGCCGGCAATGCGGACCAAGCTCTGACACCGGTCATACAGGGACCTAACAGCCCGTATTAGAGGGCCTGGTACCCCATACTCCCAGAGTACCCCCACAGGGCCCCCCGAGGGACGCGGTCAAACGCCTTTTCCAAATCCACAAAACACATGTAGACTGGTTGGGCAAATTCCCATGCACCCTTCAGGATCCCCCTAAGAGTTTAGAGCTGGTCCAGTGTTCCACGGCCAGGACGAAAACCGCATTGCTCCTACAGAATCTGAGGTTCAACAATCCAACTGACCCTCCTCTCCAGAACACCTGAGTAGACCTTACCAGGAAGGCTCGGGAGTGTGATCCCCCTGTAGTTGGAACACACCCTGCAGTCCCATTTTTTAAATAAAGGGACCACCACCCCGGTCTGCCAGTCCAGTGGGACTGCCCCCGATGTCCACGGGATATTGCAGAGCGTCAGCCAACACAGCCCCATAACATCCAGAGCCTTAAGGAACTCCGGGCGGATCTCATCCACCTCTGGAGCCTTGCCACAAAGGAGCTTTTTAACCACCTCAGTGACCTCAGCACCAGAGATTTGAGAGGCCAACCCAAAGTCCCCCGACTCTGCTTCCTCACTGGAAGACGTGTTGGTGGGATTGAGGAGGTCTTCGAAATATTCTGCCCACCGATCCACAACGTCCTGAGTAGAGGTCAGCAGCACACCGTCCCCACTATAGATAGTGTTTGTAGCGCATAATGGTGGGCCAATCATAGTGCTCTATCTGCTTAGTGAACAAATCACAGAGCTTTATCCGCTTTCTGGGCCAATAGGGCACTCTATATGCCTGGTGGGTGGGATGATGCAACAGAGTGAAACAAGAGTATGTCACATTCATTGTCCAGTGGAATGCGGAGATCATTTGAAAGACAACGGTAGAACCCGCCCCACAACCGAGAGCCGTCAATGGAGCGTGGCCAGACTAAATTATACATTTATTTAGTCTGGCTTGCCAGGCTAGGAAATTGAAGCTTTTTCTGACAGGAGACTCTGCCAGATATTCCCAGCAGACCCTTGCGATACGTTTGGGCCTGCCTGGTCTGACCGGCATCCTCCCCCACCATCTGAGCCAACTCACCACCAGGTAGTGGTCAGTTGACAGCTCCACCCCTCTCTTCACCCGAGTGTCCAAGACATGCGGCCGCAGGTCAGATGAACAACAACAAAGTCGATCATCGAGCTGCGGCCTAAGGTATCCTGGTGCCAAGAGCACATATGGACACCTTTATGTCTGAACATGGTGTTCAGTATGGACAATCCATGACTGGCACAGAATTCAAACATAGTCTAAACATACAGAAAAAGGTAAAATGGAGTAGGATTAAGTAGGAACACGTACAATTCCTACCCCAGTATCTACAATTTCAATAACACACCTGGTAATAGCAACCTTTCAAACAAAGCAAATGGCAAACATTACGTAAAAGCTGCATGTACTCAAACTTCCTTTAAATCAAACCCCTCTGCGTGCAGTTTACAATAATGCACACTATATACCTATTTATTCAAATGCACACACACTCTTTAAAAAGCGTACTTTCATTGGATTTTTTATCATGGCTGTTTATTGAAACACAAAATCACTTGTTGTCTCTGTATGTCCAATTAAAGCTGTTTTTGTCTGAGATTTGGGATTTTAGGAGTTGTTCCACCTTTGACTGCCAAATCCAGCTGGAGAGAGCAGGCTTGGACTCAGCTCAAGTGACCCGGACAGTTTATCTGAAGCTTCTTCTGTCTTTTTTCTTTCAGGATGCAGGAGAGGGACCTACAGAGCATGTGCAGAAGGGTGCTACTGCTGACCGTCTGTATGGTGTCCCTCTTGGGGCAGCTGACCACTTCATCACACCGAAGCCACATAGGTAAACTTTGTGCGATTATTGTGTGTGTGTGTGTGGTTAATATGATGCTGAAGTTAATAATCCCAGTTATACGTGATATTTGAATTCATAATTCACAGAAACAAAATGTTTAGAGCCACATGCTGTTTTAGGCATCTTGCCAAGAACAATCAGTTGGAAACGACATGCATACGCTTCCTCACTGAAGGTTTTGTCTAGAAGTGTGTAAGGAAACTGGATTTACCAGACAGTGGCGTGTTCAGGCCATTAAAACAGGGGTGGCTGATGGGCCACTTTATGCACCCCTCACAAAACCGTTAATAGTTTACATTCTGTTGAATTTGTGAGCTCCCTTTTGTGGCATGACCATTTCTCCTCTTAAAATTTCTTCTTCTGGAATCTTTTCTTCTTCAGGTATTCAGTGTTCCTGGTTCTTAGGCTCAATCTCAATACTCACACTGCCTACGCTCTTCTGTGAAGTGCACTTGGAGGAAGTGTGCAATGGGCTTGACACACGGGAGTTGACATTGTCTCTCCTCCATTCATTTTAAATGAGACATGCGCGACAAAGCGATACTTGCGGGTCCTCCTGCTAAGTGACACATGAAAAACCTGCATGCGAAATTTTACATTTGTGTGTGTCGGGCACAGGCGAGCCAGTGACGCCATCTCAGAAGGTTGAGAAAAATTTCCATCGCTGTTGCTCGGACAAGGACCAATCAGCGGAGGTTTGATTAACTGACCAATGAGTGGATATGATGCTTCTCAGTACATCTCCAGGAAAAAATAAAGGAAAATACTTGCCGTGTCAGATTTCCCAGAGCTTTACAACATATAGAGAATATAGAGATCTTCACAAAAAGGCAGTGGCATGAGAAATTGTTCGTGCCAGGATTAATACATCCGTATTTTATTTTATGGATGAACCCATTCACATAATTTTCTTTTTTATATAGTAAAGTCAGAAGTAAGACTTTGCTTAACTCTAGCAAAACCTTGTGAGACTTCATATCTACCGCTTTTTCAACTCTGAACTGCTTTAATAACCCAACATTCCCTCCAATCTGACAGCCAATCAAAACAATGGAAGACTCATTGGAAAAGAGCGCGTTGATGGCTTGCGCCGCTGCCGCATATCGCCTCCCATGTGACAGGTTTTTAAAGCGATGGGTTTCTCTGAATGCGGTTGTTTGTCTCTTCCTAAGCCTAAGGCTTCAAGTGTGTAGTACACAAGCATGCAAATAATTGCTCAGTTGGGACAAGAAGCATTGCGTCATCGACCACGATGCATATGCTGGGATGCTGGTCACTGTTTGCGCTACTTTAAAAAAAGTCTTTATTAACAACTTTCAAACAAACAATTGACAAAATCTACAAGAATTGCTGTCCACATTAAATCTTTGTCTAAAACATTCAGAGCATGAATAAAATTCATTAATTGTCCTAAAATTAACTTTTTCACTTGAAAATAAATATTTTCAGAAAAGGCACATGAGCCTTTGTTCCGCCTTCTTCTCAAAAATCCCACGCAGCAATGGGTTGTGGGTAATAACCTTAGCCCAAGTCCGCATTGATGCAGACTTGGGTGAAGTGCGGATCAAGGGTGCAAAATAAGCGTGGTCAACTTCCACACGTAAGAATCGGGACACCCTACACACTCGCACCCCTGGACTGGATCGCACAATTGAAGGGTGCAAGGGTAGAGATGATTGGGCTATGTTCTTATTTGAGCCATTTTGTGGTGGTTGGCAAGCTACATCTTGGTGTATTACCGCCACCAACCGTACTGTTTATGTAATTATGAAAAAGCAATGAATAATTAGAATTTCACTAATATTCAACAACAAATCAGATATGCACCAATAATCATCTGTTAGCAACTTTATGAAACATTTACAAAACTCATTCTTCATGGCTTTGATCACATTTTCAGTACTCCACTGCCTTTTATCAATCCTAGTAAAAAAGAGGAGATGAGGAAGTTTGACGTTAGATTTTTTAACAGAACAGCATCTTGCAAGTCAAACATCAAAAGAAAAATGTTTTCTCAGTGCACCAGGTATTCATGCATCTCTGAGCGTGGACGCCTTTCAAGCAGAGAATCAGGCCTTTCAAAGTAATTCCACCTAATGGAGAGATGGCTTGATCTCTGGCATAATGGCAAAACGTGTGACTACACTTTAAAATAATGAGGCTTTCTTTGCTAGAGAAAAAACAGCAGCTGGTAGAAAAGAGCTTCACATTAGGTGAAAACACAAATTTGACCAGTAAAATGCTTTGACTGGGCAATGGCAGGATGGAGATGGGCAAAACGATCTAACACCAAAATGTCGAAAATAACAAGTAATGGATGTCTTACGAGTTATTGTATTGTTGCATCATCTTCTCTGTTTCCTCACGAGCCAGAGTTCAAAGGGATTTAATATTCTGATGTTATGTTGTGTAAACAAGAATAAATTCAACTCTTTAACTGAATTTGATTAGGCAATTTTTTATGGTTTCAGTTCAAACAAAAGCCAATTTTGTTAAGAAGTCGGAGGATTAAGAGTATAAACAAATGATAACGTCAACGGAAAAAATACTTAGCAAAACTGAATAATGTTATAATAAAACAGTGTGAAAAGGACAAGACAGTGCAAAACAGAATAATTTTGTAAATAAATCAAAGAAAAAACAGTCCAAGGATTGAAAAACATCAAACTTCAAACACGGTGCCAAGTTCAAGTAAATGGAAATGGGGATAAAAGAACAATTAGGAAAGTAAAACAGTTTTTTCTCTAACGGAAGCTACTGAAAGATAACCTCTTTGAAAAAGAATATGAGGAGAAACTTAATTTGCAAGGAAACTCACTCATGCATCCTGCACCCTGCCAGAGAGATATAAGGAACCACACTTCGTCAAGCTTTTTGACAGCTCTATTGTTCTTTGATCTTTATGACCTTTCCCCCAAACCACCTTACGTCAAACTTGACAGGTGTATTGTTTTATGACCTTTAATGACCCTATATCTTAAGAAATGAATTGATGACATGAATGCTAACATCACGTACACACTGACAGACATGAACAATGGTAATAAAATTCATTGTGATGTTTTAGAAAGTGTTTTAGAAAGTGTTTCAAACATCACCCTCGACCAATCACGTCGTTTCCATTCAAATTTTTTTTTAAAAAGACCGTATAACTGTAACGGGAAAACCGTTCTTGGATCTCATTCTCCGAAGCACACCGTGATGTCAGGTAAGTGGAAGAATTAACTCAAACTCCACTTTCCAATGTTTTATCAATCTACCGACATCTAATCTATTTATTTTTTTAGCCGCAATAGTCTTGTCATCCGAGTCCGAGGGTGAATGGGATGGTGAAATTCCTCTCTCTCAATTAGAACGTGAGGCACCACCACCACCGCCACCAACCCCGCAAGATGCATTTAGCCAGCTTGACAGAGCTTTAAGCGAACTCAGTAAGTGATTTTTATACGTAATTTAATAACGTGATAAATCCGTTTCAGCTGAGAAATATCTTATTTCTCCAGAAAGACAGGGAGGGAACAGAGACAATCAGGAACGCCCCTCGCAGCAATACGACACAAGTCAAGATTTTATCCCACCCGCACCTCAACACGGCTGTGACGAGGGAGTGGCGTCACAGTCAGAACAGCCACCGGTGACCAGCGATCAAGACTCAGCTCCACACCATCCTGCCGCTGCTACACAGAGACCTAGTAAGTAATCAGAATAAAGTGTTTAATAAAGTTTTATTAAAAGATGATGATTCATTCATACTCCCTCTCTATTTCTCCATCCAGAATTACATCGGAGGAGGAATCAGCGGCTCACTCGGCTTCAAAGAATGAGCCATATGAAAATGGCCTACATGCTTCTCCAGATCTCCTGCGGGCTTGTGAACATCTTGGGCAATGTTCTGTCTGTGAGGATTAAAAGACAGAAAAGAAGAGGACCAGGGATTATTTTTTCATTCATCAAGTCTATAGTAGGCTTTTATATATTTTTTTCTCTTTGTATCATGAGTCGTACGCCAGAATATTGTGATTTGCTACCGGATTGGTTCGATCTGAGTGGACTTTCAGATTTGGATGATGATGAATTAGCTTCAAATAATGGGATTTTAGATCGAATTCTAGCCTGCCAAACTCCTCCTCCTTCAGATGAGGCCGAAGAAATTCTATTAAATTCAGATCCGCCTTCACCTGACGCTTTAGATGAAATTCGGAGGCAAATAGAACAATCACACAATGTTAACCATACACCTGAAGACAATAATTTGCTGCTGCCGGATTGGTTTGATTTAAGCGGACTTTCAGATCTGAGTGAAGTAGAGGATGAATTAGCTTCAAATAATGAGATTTTAGAACAAATTCTAGCCTGCCAAACTCCTCCTTCAGATGAGGCCGAAGAAATTTTATTAAATTCAGATCCGCCTTCACCCGACACTTTAGATGAAATTCGGAGGCAAATAGAACAATCATACAATGTTAACCAACAGGTGGGAGGGAGCATTAATGTTGCGTCCTCTTCCAACGATGCTTTTAATCAGCATGAAATTAGAGAAAGCATCTCTTTTTCAATAAACCATGGAACCACAGACCCTGCAGAGTTTTATCTCAATGTTATGGATATATTAAATAGATTTGCTGAAAGGGGAAGTCAGATTGCTCGCGCAAATGATAGGATTCAGTTTGAAATCAACACACAGCATTCTACTCATCATGTTAACTTTAATTATGATGGCGCAAATAAGATTTAAAAATTTCAGCAATTATTCGGCAAATTAGTCCAATCGAATGAAGCGCTGACGGCTGACATTGATTTTAATTTGAGACTGCAGGTGGTGAATAATCCATCCGGTGCTGAGAAACAAAAAATTGAGAGTATTCTTGATCAGGAATTAGTGGATAAAAAGGGATTTCATCTTGTTTCACCCCCGAGAGCGATCAGTTCTTGTGTTTCACGCTCAGCTTAGCCGGGCTGTTAAACCCCGCAGTGACAGATACAGAGTT